CTAAAGAGTGGAGATTAGAGTGAGGACGCAATCAAAATAAAAGCTCCAGTGGGATTTCCCAGTTCTGTGGGTGATCTACTAAAATGTGCAAAGTGATTGAGACAGACACAGGCCACTACTATCTAGACTTCTTCTATTCCCAACAGAACTACCTAGAATTTCCTTCTCGCTAATCATACAGTTATCCTTCTTGTCTATGTATATCGTAAATCAAGCAACGTCACTTGATATCATTTTTTTCCTTCTTTCTGGAGTTTTGCCCTCCACCACAAGTCCAAATCCTGGTATGTACCATTATTCTTCTTGAGTATTCATTTTAATTTTAGCTTTTTAGTTACTTGTTTTTATTTAAACCACTGCAGTCTCAGCAGTGATTCAGTGTTACATTTCATTGCATGTAGTACGTGTTTAACTGTTCAATGTGACAAAAAACTTGAATCTTTAGATAATAACAAAATGAATGAGCAACAGCTTTGTTTAAATGTTATTTGCCTACTCATCTCTGTTTTACCCATGAGACTCTTGATTTTTGTCCAGTTTTGCCATGACAGCAAATGATACAGGTTATCTGCAATCTTTGGGGGAATTCCTCTCCCAGTCAGCAAAATGTCATAGTGTATCATGGGGGACCCTTTCCCTGCTTGGCAAGTTTAAGGAGACCCCAATTCTTTGTAATTTTTCAGGTTTTACCGTTAGGTTAAACTTAACGCAGGGATGTAAGTCGCTCTGGCTAAGGGCGTCTGCCAAATAATGTAAATGTAAGTGTAAATGATTTAGGAACCATGAGGGACAGGGGGACATGTATCCGCAACATTTAATTTGCCTTTCTTGCCCCCCCACCTCCCAAAAAATTGACATTTAAATTTTTAAGGTGCTCCCCACCCCAAACATCAAACTCTATCTACTCTGATTATATGTATGCATTTCCTAATGGTAGCTGATCACGCAAAACAATTTCTTGATTTAAAAAAATAAAAAAGTATTTATTCTCAATTAATTACCATTTGTCTTTCATCCTTTTAAAGAATTTACCCTGAAAATGTTGTTTAAAATTCTACGTGACTTTAACCAAGATTTGGCTAATTCTTCAAGCTCAATGTTCAACATATTTAAATCAGACATGGAAGCAACTGTAAGTATATGTTCTTAAATACTTCCAACATTCAGATATATACAATACCTTAAATATAATTTTTGATGTAATTTATATTTTATCCATTTTTAAGCAAACCTATCAGTTTATAATTCTGTGTATTACTCTGCTATACAACTGAAGAGCAGCATGTTATCAGCATAGTACATATCAATTTACTGTTTGAAGAGGCTGCCAAAAGCAGTTTATTAAGCAGGCATTTTGATTAACATAAAATTTGTTCTTTTACCCAGCTCACTGCAAATTACAAAAAATTAAATGGTTTTGTTAGAGCCTATGTCCTTGGCTTCAGGTAAGTTTTCTCCTTAAAACACAATATATTTAGGTAGTCTGCTTGTTTTTGCTGTTCTTTATCATTATTATCAGTAGAATAGTAGTAGTAATAGTAATAGTCTCAATAGTAGTTGAAAATACTAATACTATTAGTGCAAATATAGCAGCAGGGGATTTAAGAAAAATAACATACATTTTTATAAATACTCAAAACACATTATTACTCATTATTTCTGTAATTTAGACGATATTCCTGTATTTTGTTTGACAGGAGTGGCAGTGTGATTACAGACTTTGTACTGGAGGCAAACAGTGTGAGTCCCACTGAGATTGCCACACTGAACAGTCAGGTTGCAGTGGATCTTCAGGCCCAGGGTTACAGTGTTGACCGAAGTTCCTTCGGTGGAGTTGTTCAAGGTAGGATGAAAATCACAGGCACTAAATGGTTTGTCACTGCAGACAGATATACCAAGTTTCACTTGAAGTAATTGGAACTTTGTTGACTAAGGTGAAGACTTAGGGCTCTATCTAACGCCCTAAGCCTGTCTCTATCTGACAATCTAAAGCAAAGCATAAAGCCAAGATGCAAGAAACATTTATGGGCATGTCCAAATCCATTTTGCTATTTTGATGGCAGAAAAAAGACTCTGTGTTAGCACAAGGCGCAGAACAGTTGTCATAATTCTCTTAATTATTCAGAGGTATGTTGTGTCCAGATGGTTGTTGGTTTAGATCCCATGTCCAACAGAGTAACCATATCATTGTCGACCCTTTGAGCAAGACTATTAACCCCAGCTACTCCAGGGATGCTGGATGCTGGGGGGTTTGTG